AAAACACACTTTATTCATACGTTATAGTTAAAATACAACAAAATAAAGAAGAAAGTGGAATAACAACCCTATTGGAAAACATAACCAAATAATTGTTTAACTACCAAATAGTAACTGTCCCAATATAGTAACAACCCATAAACACACCCTTGGCAAAAGCAAATTCTAAGAAATAGATTTTCTCACAGGCAATTCTCCAATCCAGGAGGAAGAACAGGAGGAGAAAAACTGGGGGTGGAGGGAGAGAGAGAGTAGCAGGGAGAGATGTACTGCAGCTTTCAAACCGAACTTCAAGACCCCAACAACTGCTGCTTCGGAAAAACTAAAACTAAAAGTTCTGGTTCTGTGGGAACTTGACTCTACCCATTCAAACTGTTTGTATTGTTCCAAGCCTGCCTGAAATGCTGGGTTCCTGATCTTTCCGAGCTCTCAATGCTTTCAAGCCACCTGGAAACCAACTGGAAAATTCTAGTCATCCTCTGGCAATAGACCTAATGGACCTTTAAGGATGCTTAATTGGCTCCTTGCTAATTGCAGTGAGGTAGCACTGTTGCTCTGTATCCTGCCTCCTGATAAATTGTCCAGGGTAGCGTCACACCAGCATGCCAGTCAGTATGTGAATTTCTGTGCCTGTCTGGCTCTTTGGCACTCCTATCGGTGGCTAAAAATCCAGTGCATCAGTATCTAGTTTACTGGAAACCGATGCAAAAGCCTTTCCTGTTTGCTGTTTACATTAGAGGTTGTTTCAATAGACAGAATATCTAATTTAGTCAATGGTTTTAAACTCTCACGGATTCATTCACCAGGTGACATTTACTTCAGCTTTAAATCTTGCCTAAAATCAAATGACCTTTCTTTTCAAGTTGCTAATGTTAAAAGAAACGATTGTAAAACAAGAAAACTCTTATTTGCAACAACTTTATTTTTAAACTTTCACTAGTTCATGGAGAAAGGTATATCTGATGACAGCTCTCAAATTCTTCGATTTATATAGTTTCAGTGAATTTGAGCCATTGTGATAATACCTGTTATCTTGTTTGACATATAGTGCAGGTATTATAGATCATAGAATCCTTTCAGTGTGGAAACAGGCCCTTCGGCCCAACAAGTCCACACGGACTCAACTCCCTATAATCCACCTAATCTCCACATCCCTGAACACTACAGGCCATTTAGCATGGCCAATCCAATTAAAATCACATTTATTGTCTTTTTTCCTCAAAAATAGTATCAGAATTTCACTTACCTTGAGAAAAAGGTATTACTTTCATTTAAACTGTCACCTCGCATATTTTTATGAAGAAAAGTGAGGTGGAATTTTATAAGGTCCAAAGGAACATGGACAGGCAAGAAATGTGGCAGAAATGTGTGAGACATTGGGCTAAGCCTGTCTCGATGCTGGGAATGACTTGCATCTTTTCTGAGTTCTGGGCATCAATACGAGATTTTTGTTAGTCAGCAGTGAGTTGCCTATTAAGGGGGATTATTGCTTGTTAATATTAATATGCTGTTGCCTATATTACCACCCACCGTGAGCAAACTTAGTGGTGAGAATTCTTGACATCAAAGTCGGAGCAGGTACCTGGTGACTTCAGCTCACTGCTGGCTGCAAAAATCTTTCATGTAGTTCACCATGCATTTTAATGACGGATATCAACCACACGTGTCCCTCATCATGGAAATTGTTGTCATACCCTCATGACCCTCAAGGCACCTCTCTGATCCACTTGCAGGCCACTTGAGATGTGTAGATATGCATTTCAGGGTGCTTTAGCAGTTAGCATTGGAAGACTGTTGCAAGGACAATTTGCATGAAGAGAGAGACACAGAGCTCACTAATTGGACCAACCTGCAGCTTACTTGTTCTCTTGACCTACCTGCGTGCTCATACCATCTGTGCCTCACCTTGCCTGTCAGCACCTATTAGTGCAGTCATTCAACCAGGCAGCTCGCCTTGTTGATCAACAGGCCTCAGTCAAGGAGGCATAAAACTTGCTGTATGGCTGCGTTCTGCATCAATCTCACATCTGCTTCAGGTGCCAACAGCTTAAGCAGCAAACACACTGCATGAGAAGCATGCAAACAGCCGTGTCTCATATCCTAGGGGGCTAGGCTTCACTGCAGTGCATGGAGGCATTTGTCAATCAGAGGGTCTGGCACAGCAAGTCGAGGGCGGCTTCCTATACCAGTACAGGGGATTGAACACAGTGAGGTGTCTAGTTAGAGTGTTCTTGGTCATAAGTGTCGGTGCCTCAGCAGACATGGCCATGGGTCATGCTAAGTTCTGTGACTCCATAGCAGTCAGTCTACGACCTAGGGGTAAGGCCGTCAGGGAGATAGAGAGGCATGAGTCAGGGACCTAGGCACTTACCATCCAGTTAGGTCACTCAACAATGTGGACCACAATCAGTCTGGTGGGTCCATTCAGAGCAAGTAGGGAAAGGAGTGTAGGGGGTAGGAGCGGGGATGGTAAATGAGACGCTGGAATCTATTCGCGGGTATTGGGAGCTGTAGGTTGGGAAGAAAGAGAGATGATAGTAGTGAAGGGAGTATCTTCATTTGTAAGATGGGGAATATGGAAAAGTATGGATGAGAACAAGATAATGCAAGAGATAGGTTCTTCTATGTTCAGGAACACCTTGGCTTTGAAGGAGACATTATATGACTATACATGGCAATGTCATCTAATATGCCAGAGTTGGGGGGTTATGGTGGGCATGGGCAAGTTTGCCTAGATGGGTTGGTGAGGGCCTGGGGAGGTGTGAGATATATAGGTTTCACAGGTAGAAGAGGATCTGAATGTTTTGAGGCTTCACAGACACAAGCAGAGGTTGAAAATCATTGCTCAAAGAGTGTTCACTGTCACCTTCCACTGTGTTGGAAGGCAAAACTACTCCATGGGAAACCAAATGTCAGTGACCACACCCAGAATGGGTCAGGAAACTGCCTTGACCTGCAAGGGAGATGGTTGAAGGACCCACTGATGTGATGCCCATTAGAAGACCAGACTTGTGGAGCCCCTAATCCCTGGCGATCCTAATGTACAGCTACCTATCCTAGACGCTAGTACATTCAGCACCAACACTTTTGCATACACAACTCAGAGAGAGAATAGGAGTGTTTGACCAAGAAGGGCATTGGTACCAGCAGATTGCATAGCCCTGCATAAACCTTGTTTGTTTTTTCAACACAGATGATCCTTGGACATCAAGTTAGGTATCATGCTGGCACAGTTACATTTATAGCTGGATAGAGATTCAAAAAATAGATGTTTGGCAAAACCATTACAATTTATGGAAAAATGAGAATTTATATATAGTGCAGTGTCACCTGTGCCACCAATATGCCCTTTTTTAACCTTTTGCCCGATCTCTCAGTTTTGTCCCAGGTTCTGCAGTTGGGTGGAGGAAGCCTGCTTAGTAGTGGAGATTATTGGCTTTGGAGTTTGGTCCTTGGTGTTAGGATGGGCCTCCTTTCCAGAGGCAGGTTACCTGCTGAGGAAGTAACGTTACTGCTTAAAGAGAGAATAATTTTAAGGTGAGAGGAGAAAGATTCAAAAGGGACCTGAGAGGCAACTTTTTCTCACACAGGCTGGTTCATATATGGAACAAAGCACGAGAGGAATTGGTACATGCAGATATAGTTACAGGAGCTGGGGAGACCTGGATAACATTCTGGGGACGTGGGTTCGAATCCCACCATGGCAGATGGTGGAATTTGAATTCAATAAATATCTGGAATTAAGAATCTAATGATGACTGAATCCGTTGTCGATTGTCAGAAAAACCCATTTGGTTCACTAATGTCCTTTAGGGAAGGAAACTGCCATCCTTACCTGGTCTGGCCTAGATGTGACTGCAGACCCTCAGCAACCTGGTTGACTTTTAACTGCCCTCTGGGTAATTAGGGATAGACAATAAATGCTGTCTGGCCAGCGACGCTTTCGTCCCATGAATGAATAAAGAAATTCTAAAAACATTTGGACGGGTATGTGAATAGGAAATGTTTAGAAGGATATGAGCCAAATGCAGGCAAACGGGACTAGTTTCGTTTGGGAAATCTGGTTGGCTTGGATGAGTTGGACTGAAGGGCCTTTTTGCATGCTGTATGACTCTATGACGCACCTTGGCTGAACTTCTAAAGGTCAAAGGGGTGTCAGGCAGGTTAAATACGAAGGGCATGGACGTCTCTGAAGTGTCCTGAGTGGACGCTTCAGTGTGGTTCCTCCTCTGGCTAGATGGTTCCTGGCACTCCCCTGCCTCGTTATCAGGAAAGGGGACTTGGTATGAGTGCGAGGTACCCCACTCCCTTGCCAAGCCTTTGATCATGAGGATCAATGGCTGGGACAATGATGTTGATTCAGACTGAGCGTGCTAGAGTTGACTCTTGATGGCGGCCATCAAGCTGTCCATGTAAACAGCCACATGATTACATGCTTGAGGCAACTGTGTCCCCAAAGAGCAGTTGTACTTGTGCAGCCTCTGGGCTATGAGGGTCATTGATTCCTAAACATCTGCCTGCTGCTGCTGTTCCTTATTATACGTTGATAAAGTTCCGGATTGACAACTCTACAGAGTCTGCTCTTAGCTGGAGCTGAACAGGTGTCTGGTCTCTGGCAGTACCCAAATTTCAGGAGCCAGAGACATTTCTTCCTCGGCCAGACACAAAGCTGTGGCCATGAGCTGTTGACAATCTCCTGCTCCCTAAAGTTGCACCTGATGTGCCCACCGAGATGTTGGTATCTGTGTTCGTAGGTATTGCAGAAGGCAGCCTTGCCAGTGCTCTGTCTGAAGCCTTGGAGCTCTCTTCCTCAGAGGTCAGTTAAGTGCCTTCTAGTGGTGCAGCCCATTTTTCTGCAGAAGCTGCGGTTATCTCACTGGCTCCTGCAAGATACAGGGGAGAGAAGGCCAATGGTTATAATGGTGTGCAATGGATGCCACCGGCATCGGCGTTAACGTGAGAATTGCATTGGAATGAGGAGTGGTACTAACTTGGTTAGCGTGCCTACAAGAGTGGTCCTGGTCTTCCCTCCTTGTAGTAGGTAAGGAGCCTGGAGTTGGATACCCCTCAACCGATCCTGGGCTCTTTCTCCCATGTCAAAGGCTGTTTTCTACTGTATTGGGAGAGAGGAAGGGACTTTTGTGAGGTGAATGTGGGTGGCATAGCTGTTAGCGCTTTTTCAGGTGTTCAAAGGATGAAGTATTTTGGAAAGTGAGTAGGTAGCACAGAGGCCATGCAGTTAGGAGTTTGGTGGGTCCGAGCATGAGTGAGGGAACATGTTGCCTGCAATAATGAGAACGTTAGAGTATGAACATGAATAGGAGTTGGGTGCAGTGTCAGTGTGAGTTAGTATAGTGTAGCACCTAACATGGTGGAAGAGAGAAAGTCATTGTTTTTGCAGGGTTGCTGGCCATTCCTCCAGACTGGAAGGATATCAAATAAGGCCATGTGGATAGTAGTAAAAAACAAAAAAAAAAATGTTTTGGATGTGTGCTATGGCCCCCAAACAGTCAGGGAGAGAGAGAGATCAAATATGTAATCAAATTTCAGAGAAGTGTCAGAATAATAAGACAGTAATAGGTGGGGATTTTAACTACCCAAGTATTAACTGGGGTAGTTGTAGTTTACAAAGTAGAGAGGGAACAAAATTCTTAAAGTGCATGTGGGAGTTTTTATTTTAGCCAGTATGTGGAAAGCCCAAGAGAGAAAAGATAGCTTTGGATCTAATATTTGGACATGAACTGGGACAGGTGGAAGGTGTAACAATAGGCAAGCATTTTGAAGATAGTGACTGTAACTCGGTTAGATTTATAATAGTAATGAAAATGGATAAGGATAGACCAGGAAAAATAGTCCTAAACTAGGGAAAGACTAATTGTACTAAGTTATGATTTGGCCCAAGTAGACTTCAGAGCAGCAACGTGCAGATAAACTGTATCAGAGAAGTGAGATGCATTCAAAGAGGAATTAATGAGAGTACAAGGCAATGGTATTCTTATAAAGACAAAGAATTGGGCCACAACTGGAGAACCCTGAATTTGTCAAGGATGTTGATGAGGACAATGTATTTCTTGTGGTGGACTGGGTATAAAAGTAGGAGCCATAGGCTCCAAGGTAAAATGTTGGTTACAAAATTGCCTAAGAGACTGGAAGCGGATGGTGATGATAATGGGATGTTTCTATGTCTGGAAATCTATTTTTACTGGGGTTGCCTAGGGCTCTTGCTGTTTGTACTGTACTGTAATGATTAGCAGTTAAATGTAGGGGGTACAATCAAGAAGTATGGGGTGACACGAAAATTGATAGTGTGGTAAATAGCGAGCGTAATAGCCATAAACTGAGGGGAATATGAATGGGCTGGGCAGATCAATGCAAATGAAATTCAACCTGATATGAACTAATACAATTGTGGAGGGGTTAACAAGCCAAGGGATTACACTATGAATGGTAAGCCCCTAGAAAGTATTGAAGACGTGAGGGACCTTAATGTGCATATTCATACACCCCTGAAGGTAGTAGGGCAGGTAATTAAAGTGGTTAAGAAGGCATATGGGCTACTAGCCTTTATTAGCCAAGGCATTAAATTCAAGTGCGAGAAAGTCATGCTAGAAAAGTGTAAGACAATGCAACTGGAGCACTGCGTATGTTCTGGTCACCACGTTATAAGAAGGATGTGATTGCTTGAGAGAGGGTGCATAGCATATTTACCAGGATGTTGTCTGGGCTTGAGTGTCTGAGCTCTGAGGAAAGATTAAGTAGGCTGGATTTGCTTTCCTTAGGACGGTGACAGTTGAGATGGGACTTCATAGATGTGTAAAACATCGTGAGGGGCATTGATTGGTTAGATAAGAAAAAAATGTTTTCCATTGGCAGAGGAATCAATAGCCAAGGGGCATAGATTTAAGAAAAGCAGTTGAAGGTCTAGAGCCGAGTTGACGAGAAAGTTTTTCACTCAAGATGGGGCTGGGGGTTTAGTACTCAATATCTGAAATGGGGGTTGAATCTCATGTAATATCTAAGCAGTATTTAGATACTCACTTGTGTTGCAATAGCTTCCAAAGCTCTGGGCCAAAGTCTAAAAATGTAGTCATATCTTTGTTGACCACTGTGGACACAATGGGCTGATTGGCTTCCTTTTGTGCTTGCCTCTTCCTGTACAAGTTTTTTATTAAATACAGAAATTATTGCCTCTGTACTGCTGAGCCAGGGAATAAGATGAAGGTTTTAATCGAGAACCAGTTGTTGACAACTGGTAAGTTAGGAAAGTGGAGTTTACTCTCATTTTAAACATCTATTATTGCTGCACTTATTTAGAAGTATTTAAATTTATTTTCATGGAATGAATTTAAATTACTTTTGGGACTTATCAGTTTTATGTATATTTGGGTTAGGAAGTAGCCTCTGCAGGGGAGTTGGTGAATTCTGTGAAATAAAAATTGTGTATGTACTTACCAATCGCGATGCCTAGAGAGAAAGGTAACTTGTAATTTTTAGTTGATTGTTATGCTTCCTCTTAACATTTTGTGGTTATCTTGCAATAAATGCAACTCTTCACAAGATAATAGAATTAATTAGTGTAGGTGGCATGAGAATTCTGTGCATCTTGCTAAGGTGCTCGATAGGTCTTGGGAACCAAAAACTCATACTCATTAAAGTTTCATTACAAGATGAGTACAAGTAAGCGCAATCAACCTTGCTTACAACCTTTGTGTAAAAGTTCACACACACACAAACAACTTACAAAGATTCATTGATCTAATTTCTTTTACACCTGGACTGTGAAAGAGAGTCCTATTAAACTACCAGTGTGGAAAAGAAACCCATGGGAGCAGCATGATGTGCAGTGAAACGTAAAATGATGTGAAAATGTGTGGAAGGTAGTTTATTTAGAAAATGGAATGGTGAATCTGCAAATTTAATGACTATGCAATAAAAAGTGAGTCCAGTTATAACTTGCAAAGTGTATTTTCCCTACCAAGATCAAAAGGATAGTATGGGATTTTACTGGTGAGCTTCTGGCATGCAGGAGAATGGATTAAGTTTAGAATGCTAAATACTCTTTGAAGTACCTTTAAAAGGATAACTATATCAGTCACATTAAATAGTACTTCTGGCAACCACACTGGCATAACTGATGTTGTATCCCCATATATGGGTGCCATAAAATAAGCACTGCTTCATAGTTGACCTGCAACGTTATAATGAATGTAACATGCAAAGCTAGTACTTTGTAGCTGTATCTATCAAGGGCACCTGTTCCTGCCTTTAGATTTTGGTATAAACAAATGTGTCTTGAATTTAGGATGAAGGGCAAAAGTTGGGCAAAGCAGTAGAATTTGTTTGGCAAATAATTCTGCCTTCTGTGCAAGGGATCTTACAATGTAAAACCATAGTTTTGCAATTAACTAACCTAGTTTTTAAGAGTTAAATGCTTTCAAATTAATATAAATGCAATACGTAGAAGCAACAATGCTCTTCTAAAAGTGATCTTTAAAATATTTTAAGGTGGAATTTTTGAGACAGTGTAAGTGCCTGAATAGTACACGTGTTTTATATAATTTTCAAATTACTGTGCACATTATATGTGTGCATTATGTCTAGGCAGATGTTGTTTTCTTATTTACGAATACACTGTTCTCTCATTGTGCCTTTCTACATTTCAGCTTTTGCCAGACCAGCTGGTATTGCTCCTAGAATTGCTGTTAGAAGTAAAATCCTTCTCTTCCCGAACACTGCAGTTGCTACAGAAGCATTATTGCCTCAGGGAGCAGGATGCAGAGGTAATTCATTTACTGGTCCACTGAACTGTTTTGTCAACACTTGATAAACTATGCCAGAGGGAAAAATGAAGTTCACAGAGCTTAAAAGGGCAGCTGTATATTCATTTAAGCCAGCCAAGTTAGAATGCACTGTAAATAATCAACTCCCTTGTTTTTAAACCTAACGGGGGAAGAAGGGTTTATGGAGTCCTGCAGTCTCTTGGCAGAGAGAAAATAAATTTCTATCTAACTTGTTCGAAAGCTTTATTTGACATTGTTCAAAGTCTTACGTTTCTTAATAGTACTTTGAAAGTTATGGTCTACTTAAAACTGTTGAAAAAGTGTTAATGCAATGATGTTGTTTTCAGGAGTACAGATATCTCATGTTATCTTTCCTTTGTAGAAATAAAGTAAGAGGTGGCAGTGGTGTCGTGGTAAAGTCACTGGATTAGGAATCCAGAACCTCAGACCAGTAGTCTGAGAATATGGATTGAAGTCCCACCATGGCAGATGGTGAAATTTGAAATTGGTAACATTTGGGAATAAAAAAGTAATTCAATGGAAACAGTTGTCAATTACCATTAAAACTCATCTGGTTCACAAATGTCCTGCAGGAGAGGAAATCTGCCATTCTTACCTGGTGGAAGAGGGAATATGGCCTAAGCAATACGTCGTCCAGCAGGACTTCCAGGTTCCTGCAAAAACATGATTATTTTTAAAAAATTTTCATGCACTTTTGGGTGTCGCCGGCTGGCCAGCACTTATTACCCTTTCCTTGTTGGTGGTGAGTGACTTTCTTGAGCTGCTGCAATCCATGTGCTATAGGTTGACCCACGATGCTCTTAGGGAGGGAATTTCAGAATTTTGACACAGCAGCAGTGAAGGGGAACTGATTTTCTCCTGTCTGCAATATCCCTGGCAAATCTCGGGAACATTGCAGGACAATGTTGGACTAGCATTGCTTTTAAAGATGGTATGGGCACAAGGCATGTGGGTGGATTCCAGGTAGTAATGAGTTGTTCCGAGAAAGATGGAGCTGAGATTGGATTTGGGGGATGCCGTAGAAGAAGGGTAGGTAGTTAATTGGGCAAGTTTGATTAGATACAGCAAGAAAATTTGCTTGGGCTCGAGGTAGAAATCCTTCCAGAAATAATGATATGATTTGGACTAGTCAAGAAATGCAAGATACTGCTCTTGGTCTCTGATCAAAGGCACCAGCACTGGACAAGGATTTCCCACTGAAAGCCATGCCCTACCCTTACCTTAAACATTTCTTTCACCATTTGCGTACATTTTGAATTTGACTCCTACCAAATTCAGATTCTCAAACTGATATAGAAGGATAACTCTATTCCTTGCATTATTAGTCCGGGTATCTGGATTACTGATACACCAATGACCTCTAAACTACAGTACACTTTTGGGCATATGAAATCTAGTAAAGCATGGAAGCTACAGTATTCATATAAAGCCCACATCTTTACCTGATCACAGGGTTTCCTTCTGTCCTTAGAACCTGTTTTCTTTCATTATGTATCCAGAATAATAGGGCGCAAACATAAATTAACGGTCAGGCAGCCCAGAAGTAAAATCGCTTCTCAACATTATGAAAAGTAGAGATCTAGAAAACTTTCACAAAGTTGTGGATGCTTGGTCGATTGACTTTTTTTTTGAGAAAATCAGCAGACTTTTATTGGATAAGTGTATCGAGAGATATGGATCAACAGTTGGTAGATGGACCTGAGGTACAGTTCAGCCCCTGATCTACTTCAATAATAGAACCAGATCAAGGAGCTGAACCAACTCTGCCTCAACTACCTCTCAGTTGCAAAGATCATTTGTAGTGTAACCATTTGAGTATTCTGGATCATTTGGAGTTTGGAGGTTACAGGAATCTTTGGGAATAGGAGCTATATTTTGTTATTATTTTGACAGAGGAGGGGTATAGTTGGATACATTGGCATTGTTTCCACTAGAGTTTTGAAAAGTGAGGGGTGACTTGATTGAAGTGTGTAAGATTTTGAATGGCCTACCTAGATGAACACAGGGTGTTTCCTCTTATGGGTGAGCTCAGAACTCCTACAGTTTAATTCCTATTTTATAGCAAATTCTGCTGTTGGAAAATCTTCCATTTACATACGTGTGTGTGTGTGTGTGTGTGTGTGTGTGTGTGTGTGTGTGTGTGTG